ATAGAAAATGATGGATGCTCAGCCCCGACACATCGATGATCGCGAAATTTGCGCGGCCCGCGCAATTTTCACGTTCAACACTCACCGATGCACTGATGACTTCCATTTTCGCCTCCCATTTGCTACGTGGGCAGACGGCATAAGTCAAATCGCGGAAGAAGATCCATGGATTGTCTTTTTCCGCCACCCGATGGGACGACGTCCCCGGCAAATGCGTTTTTGAAGAAATGATCGATCCCCATCATCGCTTCATCTCCACAGATCTGTTCATATGCAAATGATGGCACGCTCCGGCAACAAGGTTCTATGACGAAATCACTTTTGCCTCCTGAGTCTCCAAAATGTATACATCTTATAGTGATCAGATGCATACAGAAAAAAAGGAGGTGTTTGCATTTCGGGCATCTTGGAATTTTTTTGAAGACATAGGTCGATACAGCGACGTTTATTTATCGATTTTCTTGGAAATGGTGTAATTTATGGAAAAAAGTCATTCTATAAAAAGTGTTTGAAATTATATCATGAGTTAATTTGAGCAAAAAAATGGGACATTGTGGTCCGTTTTTCATACTTCGGATTTCGCTGGCCAGGTTGAACCGACCTACGTCATAGGGGAAACAAACCTCAAGATGCAAACACCTCCTTTTTTTTCTCTATGGATCAAATGTCCAATCACTGAGAAAAATGGCTCGCGAGCGAGCCGAATGTCACTCGCGTAGCGAGTGATCGGGGGTCCAGGGGGCGGAGCCCCTTGGCTGGCCAAGACGGACGCGCAAAGCTCGTCCAGAACGGCTAGTATTGCTCTATTTTTTGAAATATGCATATTTGTTGAATATCTGAAAGAGTGGGGAGTTCATGAGAATGAAAACGTCTATTCGCTGGCTGGAGGAAAAAAGGGGGAAAAAGTACATTGTCGGAATGTTCCGTAAGTATCAGTATCTATGCCATTGCAAGAAACCAATTACCTAACATGAACGAAAAATGATATTAGAGGAAAATGAAGGGAATCTGGTAACCTTTGTGGCGAAACCGAACCCTTTGTGAACGTTTGTGAAGCCCCCTTCCCTTCCCCTTCTCCTCACACTTCAAATAATGTCTTTACGTCAAGTTTTGTAAAATTCTTGCTCACGTAAGCAGCTCATGGTCCCATTCGCCGAAAGTAACATAAAAAATAAGCTAAAGATAAGTTATCAAGGATCCCATTTCCTATAGTCATGAAAAAGTTGGTCAAAATCGTATTAGAACTTGTTAGGTATTTCGCTCTGATATCTTAAAAAATGTAATCCCCTACAAAAATTACGTGAGGAACGGGTAATTTACTCTGTACTGAGGTCGGAAAAGCTTTGTATTCAGAGAAAACAAGACGAGTGATGTGCGATGACCGACCCCTCCTATGGACTCGGCACTCTCACATCGGAGCTATTCCGCCTTTTGCTTGTTTTTATGTATTACTGATAAAAAGGAGGGCTTTCATTTCTATGGAAAAGTATTTCGGCAGTACAGTAAATTCATAATTATTTTTAAAACTGCGCATCGTTGAGAATAAACAAAGACAAGCGGTTGTTTCGTCGGTAACACCGTACTGCGCCTCCGCGCGCGTCCCAGGCAGGCAGCGTAGCGCGCGGATCTGCCTCAGAACGGCCGGCTCCCCATCCCCCGATGGTTTTTCCCGTTTCACACCTTAAATATCGATCCCACAGAAAAAGTAATACAAACCATTTTTGTTCCTAATAAAATTTCCCATCGTCCTGCTGTAAAAAAAATTACGCTAACATTAGCCGTTCAGTAGTTATTCAAAATTCAAAATTTGCCCCCCCCCCCCGGGGACTCATATTTTCGGGGTCTGTGTCTAAATCGAATGTCTATAGGGTAGAAACGAATCCCTAAAATTTTAATGATTTCTTCCAGAAGTGCACGATTCTTACGATATTGTCCACTTATCGGTCCCACTAATTACTATACGGAGAAACAACTATTCGCTCTAGCGGGCGTCCTGGGCAACATATTAGGATCGGAATAATTTTGATCAATTTCTCACGAGTATTACTGAGCGTGTATCAAGTTTAAAGGAAATTGCTTCGGCCGATTTTTCTCTGGGGGGGGGGAGGGGGCAGAGTGAGCTGATACAGCAGCTTTATATAGAGTAATAATAATAATATGTACAATAAGGTAAGATAATTATCACATTTCCCAGATATAATTAAAAACGTGACGTATATTTTTAAATTTCCGTATATATTTTGTAATTCTGGGTATCTGAAGAAACGACGAAATATTTTTACAAAAGCCGTGTCATAACTTTAACCGCGGATTGTGTGAAAACGGTGCCTCGTAGAAAGATGGCACAATAATGACTTTTGATCAGCATTCATAGACGAGTTTTTTAATGCAATAAGAAAAGAGTAAATCGATTGTGGTTCACCTCCCCAAAAGGAGTACGCAGGATTCTTTCAGCGATTCAAGGTCTACATCAACAATTTTTGAGAGCCCATCAATAGGTACCTAGTTTAGTAACCAATATCCTTAACAGCTACTATGCCGGAATCTATACTTAACGTTCATCACGTCCTCCAGCTTCCAGCCCTGGAAACAGTAAATGCTGGTCCAACCAATCCTCAAGTATCTAGGCTTCAGTATTATCAAGCTTTGTCTGATGGCAAATAAACTAGGCCCAGTCAATAAAGACGTCTATGAGGTAAGAAAAAGGGCCATGAGCAGAAGGTACCTACGACCCCGAACCATGCTTTTTGTCACTCAGATGAGAAGGGGAGTGATGCGGTTGCGTGAAATGCAGCGTCCCAGAAAATGCCTTTTGAGACCGTGACTTTGGCAACGCAGCGCTGCACTGCAGTCCAGAATTTAAAAATGGGAAGAGGTAAGTCGGTTAGTGGCTGGAAGATCACGAAAATTGGGTTACTTGTGTTTTTTGAGTCTCTGATTTCGAATTCGGTGTCAAATCATCAGCATTGTATCACCCTGACCGATTAAAAGTGGTTTTTCTCAAATCATTGAGGAAATCAATAAATCAGGCAAGTTTATAGGAGGAGGAGAAGTGTTCAAAAAACATCAGTACTCAAATTTCGTAGTTGTATTATGCACTCACATCTGTCGAACAATGTATTAGTGAAAACAATGCTTTCCCTGGAACAGGGGGGGGGGGGTGTTCGCAGAAAATTGTATGGGATTATGGCAAGCTGCATTTCCCACACATATTTTTGGCAAGAGCCTAAATTATATCCGCCTAATCTAACCTAACATGCATGATAATTCCACCTAAACAATTTTCATACTTGGTATTCAATTTATTTTGGAATCAATTCTAACTTCTGTAAATGTTGTAATCTCTTGTTCATTGTTTAAAATCTTCGTGAGGAGTTTTGTCAATTTATTGATCTATTTTTTCAAACATCCTTGGACGGGCAAGTACAGTTATACACGTACCAAATAATGCGCCCGGGACTCCGGGACAGAACATCACAATATGATTCACACAGCCGAACTTCTTTTCTCTGTGTAAATTACTCAGTACAAGGATATTCAGGGCTAACTTATGGCCACTGAGGTTTGGCAACGCTGGGAGAATTCCATCAAATGAATGTTTGTCAACGTAGCAACATATCTTGTTCTTTTCTGCTCAAGGTATAGGTACCAATGAACTGAACCTATCCTATATTCAAGTCTGTGCCCAAACTTGCACTGCTAGACTGTCCGGTTAAGTTTGGCCATACTGGAAAATTGCACATTTTACAATGAAATGCACAAAGGTCGTAAATAATTAGGCTCTTATCAACTTTCAGAAGAGTCGAAAGAAATGGAGCTTCATGTCACTTGGCGTTAGAGTTTTCACAAACAAGCAGTCTATTCGATTAAGTTTGGTAACACTGGAAAATTTCACATATTAAGTGCAATTATGGCAACACTGTAATTCATTTGGTGTTTGAAATTTCTCTACTGCATCAGATAAGAGTTAGATTGTAACAACGACAAAAACAATGACTATTATACGACAAGGAGACTCTGAACAGCTCTCCTAACGCACCTTTCCCTACAGCCAAAAATACACTTGCTCCTCGAAAATAAATCATTTCGGCTATTTGTTATAATTTGTTGCAGTTGAATTCTAGCTTAAGTTGAAGCTGTATGTACAGCAAAACTTTTAATGTTAGAGTCATTAAGACGCAACACAACGCAAAAACTTGGCTTTCTCATGAACATGCGTTATCTTCTGAATGCTCAACCGTTGAGAGCTTGTTTGTATCCTGATTAGAGTAGTGAAATGTCGGATTTATAAATCAATCAACACAAAACTTATCATTAAGATGCTCCATGGTTGAACTTTCATCACAATGTTAAGGTACTGGCTCAGAACCACACCTAGTTTGCGATATGCTGTTGGCAGCTCCAAAATGTTATCACCAATTAGTAAACGAAGAACCACAATGCGCTCTACTTAGCGTTGCTGTCCTAATCTGATCAATCATCATTAAGTGCTGAAAATTCATATCAAGCATCCTAGGACCATATACTTTAAGCCTGCAGTGAGAAATTTCCGTTTCGACACTTTCCAAAATGGACTTTTTACCGCCTATTCTTGATTTCTGGACTACGGTGCGCCGTTTCGTTACGCCCTAGGGGAAAGTTTGATACACGAAACTGTATCATTTTGAATCTACTTTCATGTGTGAGGAAATTGTTACCATGAGAAATGGCTGAAAAAAAGTTACAAGCAACAAACCATTGAAAAACGAAATTGTGAAACTGTTGGGGGTTTTCAAAAACCCTGAGATGGGCGCATTTTTCATCGGTAAGATTTCGGACAGAGCAGAAAGTGAACGCAATTGTACCTATTTTCATGTGGGTCTGACTTTTTATGTCAATAAATCAACAGTTTCTGCGAAATTAGCCGAAAAACGAGAGCGAATAGCCGTTTTCGCCCTTCTTTTCGATTTAGGGGGTTGGATGGNGGGGGGGGGGGGAGATTTGGATTCTCGTAAAGGACCATCTACAGTTGAGAAATCAAGTGAGAAAAAAGTATCACTCTCAAAACTGCAATTATAACACCAAATGACTAGACTAAAATCCAATCATAGAGGGACACTTACTGTTAGTGAATTCCCGTTGTTTAACACAGACTTTTCTTCTCTTTCTCTACTTTTCTTCCTAAGTAATATCTGATGGCTCCCTAGGGACATTGATTTTATGGAATCCCTCTCACTGCTACGGACGAGTTAACTCGCGGCGAGAAAACATGTTCCCAGCGCTGTAGACGAGTTGACTCGCATTCTGTTTCTGTTTGAATTAACCGCCCTAACTTCATCGCGCTGACACCAAACATATGACTATAGGTACTGTATCTGTAGGTAATGATATGAACTACAAGTTACAAGTGGTTTCGATAGAGTGCGCTAGGATAGTCTCAAAGTATTCATTCCTCTGTGTATGTTTTTCTCATCCCATTCCTGATTCAGCTATGAGAATGCCGCACCTGCATTCCTAACCTAGCAAGGAGAGGGTTAAGACTTTTGGAATTGGTTAGTATATAGCAAGATTTTATCAAACTTTCAAGACAGTTTGTAAAATTACAATTTCTCAAAAGGTCTCTATTATTAAACCAAACAATTAGAGAGAAAACAAGAAAATCTATTTGCAAACTTTAACTGTCATCTTTATTTAGAGGGAGGGAAAGATTCACAACTAACCTAACCTTTAAAGGCAACATGCTTCATTTGACGTTTAATTCTTGGATAAATTTCAATTTCTGTGTCAGAAGATTAGAAGATTCTGTGATTGAACTTCCATAGCTACTTTTTAAACTGATAAGAAATGAACTAATTGCTTCTTGAAAATCTTCTTCATGCGAAGTATTGTCAACGGGTGAGATGAGAAACATGGAGAAATCAATATTTGGACTTTGGACCCAAGATTCTGCTGCTGTTGATAGAGTTGCTTCTAACTCTTTCCCGGCTTTTAGAACATTGGTTATGTATATGGTATCACAGCTTACTTTTCGATTGCTCGGATTATTCTGGAAAAAAAATTAGAATTAAAATAATTGATTTTATTAAATATTTATAAAAATTACAAAATTAACATTATAGAGATCAATTAATCAATGCAAAATTTAACATTGAATCAGTGTCGCTTCTTATTGACCTGTACTGTAATATTAATTGAAAATTCCGAGATTAAAAATTTGCTGCTCAGGATGTAATTCAGACTGATTTCATAGCCCAGGCAAAACATCATTTGTCAGAGCAGCTCCAAAAAATCAAAAATGAAATATGATTAGGAACTTGTCCTGGTATATGTGTTGGAGACTAACTGGACGAATAGCAATTTATTTGACAACGCTAGGCACAGATCCTGAAATATTTCAACATTTGCATTAAAGTTAGGTCCCGAATTCTAAATTTTCTTTTGAAATTTCATTCATCTCATGAGAATTTTCATACTACTATGGTATCAATCACTAGATCATTTATGCCTCAAAATCTGATAATTGTATCAGAAACTCCCCTTCAAAACAATTTGGACCAAAATTTTCACTTAAATGAGAGAATTTTATTCATGTTGTCATCACTAGGGTCAAGTGAGGTACGTCAAGAAGGGTGTGTACTACTTTGTTTTTTCTATTATTGAATTTAAATACTGTCCTTGCATCCTTCAACTTGGAAACATTATTTTCGGTTTGCGGGCATCGCTGATAGTGACAACCTGACTTGCTGCTGAAGCCAAACCAACTTTACTTTTTCCTTCCACCTAAAAATTTTTTGAAAAATGGCGTTTTCCATGTTACGCTTTTATACAGCATTGGCATCATTATGTTGAGTCAGCTTTGATATTATTTTATTTAGAGTTAAGCTTGCATGATTACAATAATGGTTACTTTGTATTTCAACAAAAATTGTTTGGTGCAATGAGGACTTATAAATCGACATTTTTAAGAGAACGAATTTTAGTGAAAACCGAAAATGTCTCGCAATATTAACCTGGTATCCTCCAAAAGGAAAGAAAGGTCACTTAAAAACACAAAGACAGGTCTGCAGAAAATGTAGATAGCACAGTTGGCATGGTGCATCATATACAAAACTTTAAATGCGTTGTTCTCCCAACAGTCTCCAGTTATAGGACATTATTCGTGCTGTGTCCTCATTTGCACCTTTCTCCTGATATTATGATTGATATTTGTTGAAAAAAATATACAGGGTGATCAAAAAGTCCCTTCCACCTCCTCCAACTTTTTACCTAACTGAGGCAAAGATTTGCAACTTCGGGGATGTTTTGAGGTCAAAGGAAGCTACTTTTTAGCCCCCTAAAATCTTCAGGGTGCCCCCTTGAGGGGGCAATGGACCCCAAATTTTTTTTTCAAAAAGGAACACCCCTTTGTGATACCTCGTTCGAAAAAACATAAAAAAAAGTAAACTTCTCGCGCAAACCCGAAGTCAATATCTCTAACCGTCTCAAAATGGCGGACGGTTAAAGTTCAAAATAGCCAAAAATTGCCAACTCGGTTTTTTGCAGATGGATTTGCTGAGACTTGGGACTTTGGGGTATTTTGGCATGAGATTGACACATCTAAAAGTACTTTCAAAAAAAAAAACCAATTTTTGGCCAATTTGAAATTTAACCGGCGGCCATCTTGGAAATTTTGATTTTCTTAAAAATTTAACTTAAAATTCGTTTTTCTCTTGTCAAAATACCCCAGATTCTTTTGCATGTTTTTTCGAAAGAGGTACCACAAAGGAGTTCTTCCCATTTGAAAAAAATAGTTGGGATCCGTTGCCCCCTCAAGGGGGCCCCCTGAACATTTTAGGGGGGGCTGAAAAGCAGCCTCTTTAGACCTAGGAACACCCCCAAGTTGCAAATCTTCACCTCAATTAGGTAAAAAGTTAGAGGGGGTGGAAGGGACTTTTGGATCACCCTGTACAGTAATTACACTAGCTGATATGAATGCACTGGGGAAAATTTTAGTGGAAAATTCGCAATTTGGAGTACACATGTTCTAAATTTTAGATTTGAGGCTTCATAAATAAGAACAAGATTAATTTTTGCTTACGAAAATACAATGCTTTGAATGCTTGTATAGTCATACAAAATCGGGGGAAAAGCATCAACTTACCCGTTGTTCAATACTTGTAGCAGTCTCTTTTTTAGCTTTCTTTTTAGACTGTTTCAGCCCAAATATTTTGTCTGTTTTTGCTAGAGAGCTAAAAATTCCACAGAATACAGCTGATAAACAAAACATCTGGAAAATTTTAAGGAAAATCTTTTATGAAAGTTTGATTCACAGCACAACAAAGAGCGACGCCAAAAACGACCGTTTTTTGGCACAATTTGGGCCAGAAGGGATTTTTCTGAAACCGGGCCCAAACGATACCTTATGATACCCTAAAACTCTGGTAAAAATTTTAGCTTGAGTATACGCACCTTTTTGAGAAATGGGGGGGCAAAGTTGCCAAATCGCCATCATTCTGGACAGCATTTTTACAGCAAAAAGACGGGAAAAATGGACGAAAAAGTTACACTATTGATGGGTTTGGGCTGTAAATGTTCTTATTGAGCCCCCGTGCATGTAACTGTGTTCAGTTTCAAAAATTTTGGACGTACAGTGGTCCGAAATGGGGAGAAATCGTGGACAGATATGGATTCTTTGTCAAACTTTTTAAAAATGGAAGTAAAATTGTTGGTCTATTGCACAGATCATGTGAAACAATGTTCTTTCGGTCTTCAATGCATTCAATTGAGTTCAGTTTATCAAATTTTCATCGCACAATGGTCCAAAATGGGAAATCAGTGGACAAATTAAGATCTTCTGCCTAACTTTTTAAAAATGATATACGACTATTGGTCCCCTGCAGAGATCATGGCGAACAATGTTCTTTTCAATGCATTCAATTGGGTTCAGTTTATCAAATTTTCATCGCACAATGGTCCAAAATGGGAAATCAGTGGAAAAATTAAGATCTTCTGTTGAAATCTAACCTAACCTAACCTAACCTAACCTAACCTAACCTTTCCTAAATCCTTAGAAAGGATTTATTGTAAAGTATTATTCTAACTACAATTATTCTCTGACAACTAACTAGGACAAAAACCACCCAGTTTGCCGGATTTTAAGGATCTAAAAGCTAAGTTCCTCCTGAATTACCGTTTCCAGACCTCATTTGTTCAGTTCAAAACAGTGAACATGGATAGCTTTTATTGGCTACTAACTTATTTTGAATTTCCACCTTTCGAATCTAGTGAAAAACCTCATAGTTTCATGTTATTTTTCAAAAATTTCAACAGAAGATCTTAATTTGTCCACTGATTTCCCATTTTAGACCATTGTGCGATGAAAATTTGATAAACTGAACCCAATTGAATGCATTGAAAAGAACATTGTTCGCCATGATCTCTGCAGGGGACCAATAGTCGTATATCATTTTTAAAAAGTTAGGCAGAAGATCTTAATTTGTCCACTGATTTCCCATTTTGGACCATAGTGCAATGAAAATTTGATAAACTGAACTCAATTGAATGCATTGAAGACCGATAAGAACATTGTTTCACATGATCTCTGCAATAGACCAACAATTTTACTTCCATTTTTAAAAAGTTTGACAAAGAATCCTTATCTGTCCACGATTTCTCCCCATTTCGGACCACTGTACGTCCAAAATTTTTGAAACTGAACACAGTTACATGAACGGGGGCTCAATAAGAACATTTACAGCCCAAACCCATCAATAGTGTAACTTTTTCGTCCATTTTTCCCGTCTTTTTGCTGTAAAAATGCTGTCCAGAATGATGGCGATTTGGCAACTTTGCCCCCCATTTCTCAAAAAGGTGCGTATACTCAAGCTAAAATTTTTACCAGAGTTTTAGGGTATCATAAGCTATCGTTTGGGCCCGGTTTCAGAAAAATCCCTTCTGGCCCAAATTGTGCCATTCTTGGCGTCGCTCTTTCGGGTTTTGGTTTGTCCTTCGAACCAAACCAATTTCTTTCGATTCCAAGGTACTAAAGAAGCCCGAAAATGACCATATTAACTTCAGGGAAATTAGCTGGTCCTCAGGCCGCCATTTTGAAGTTTTTAAAATTGAGAAAACCCACCATTAGATTTTTGCAAATATCTCCTCAACGGTTCATCTCACGAAAAAAACAAAAAAAAAAAGAAAAAACCAGCAGAAAGAGCATAAAATTTCCTACCGAGATCATCCTCCTTTGTTTTTCCTATCTTAATTTTTTGGTTGTGAAATTAACGTTTTCTTCAGAAATTAGCTCAAAAAAGGCGCATTTTTGCTGATTTTAGGAGAAACTTTGCTTCATACCACCAGCCACGATCATCTGAGAAAAAAACTGTTATGCTCATTGAAAAGAGCGTTAAATTTACTTGTATAAAACTTATGTTAATAGTTCCTAAACTTGATTTAATCCTGTGAAACAGCAGTTTATTAGCTCCGCCCTTAAAATGTGATTTTTTTCGACCATTTTCCTTGAAATCACGAAAAAAAGAAAAAAAACTCTAAAAACGTGACCCGAACTGTATAAAAAGGTGGCAAAATAGTGCTGGGGGGGGGGGGGGGGGCTGGAACAAAGCCAAAAAGTTCAAAAATTTACAATCAGAGTCAAAAATTATGAGCTCCAATGAGTATCAGTGCAAAACTGAGGGGGGAGAGTGTTCAGCTCAGGCAGTTTGCATTGGAATATTAAGGTGAGGTAACGTCGAGAGATCTTTAATTTTGGGTCTTTTTATACCTCATCAGTAGATCACACTCGTCATGTGAACCCATCTGAAAATCTCGCAAAATCCAAGACGGCATCACAGCTCAAGTTCGAAGTACAAGTTTTGTATTGCAAGACGGCAAGTTTCGTACTGGTACTGACTCATTGGACCTCAAAATTTTTGACTCTGATTGAAAATTTTTGAACTTTTTGGCTTTTGATCTCACTGACAAGTGTGATCTACTGACGAGGGTGATCTACTGACGGGGTGTATAACAAGACTCAAAATTATAGATCTCTCGCCGTGACTTCTACTTAATATTATAAAGCTAATTGCCTGAGCTGAACGCTCTTCACCTTCAGTTTTGTACTGCTGTACTGGTTATCCATTAAAACTTAAAATTTTTGAATCCAATTGAAAATTTTGGAACTTTTTGGTTTTGTTTTCAAAGTAGTGTGGACCCAGCACTATTTTGCCACCTTCATATACAGTTCTGGTCACGTTTTTAGAGTTTTTTTTTCTTTTTTTCGTGATTCTAGGGAAAATGGTCGAAAAAAATCACATTTTAAGGGCGGAGCTAATAAAGTCCTGTTTCACATGAATAAGTCAAGTTTAGGAACTATTGACGTATGTTTTCTTGAAGTAAATTTTACGCTCTTTTCAATGAGCATAATAGTTTTTTTCTCAGATAATCGTGGCTAGAGGTATGAAGCAAAGTTTCTCCTAAAATCAGCAGAAATGCGCTTTTTTGAGCTAATTTTTGAAGAACACGTTAGTGTCACGACCAAAAAATTAAGTTGGGAAAAACAAAAGAGGATAATTTCGGTAGGAAATTTTATGCTCTTTCCGCTGGTTTTTTTGTTTTTATCGTGAGATGAACCGTTTAGGAGATATTTTAAAAAATCTAAATGTGGGTTTTCTCAATTTTAAAAAATTCAAAATGGCAGCGGCCTGAGGACCAGCTAATTTCCCTGAAGTTAATATGGTCATTTTCGGGCTTCTTTAGCACCTTGGAATCGAAAGAAATTGGTTTGGTTCGAAGGACAGAACCCATGTTGATCGGTGTTATTGTATTGTTTGAGAATGTATCAAAACCATCTTAATATTACACTAAGCCAAATGCAAGAAATTCCTTATTACCTCAATGACTAAGATTCCTCTAAGTTGACTCTCATAGCAAATACATTATAATTGTCAAACAAACCAAACAATGGTAGTGAGAAACAAGGCTAGAACATGTAAAAAATCCTCAGACCGACTGAATAAAAATCTCGACCGATCAGAGAGAGATTTTTCTTGAACAGCATGAAATTTTAAAATTGCTAGCAATGATGTGAAATGCTAGAACTGACTTAATTGTTTTGATGTGAAATGACCCATCACTCAACTGTTTTCTCTACCCATCCTGGTGCATGTAGATGCAGACTGGCTGTCAAAACCCTGGTTCTATAGCAAGTCTTTTTAATTACCACTTAATTCATCTTAAATGTCTTTCAAGGTTCATAATGTAGTTTCCTCTCGAAAATTTCGGAGTTCAAATTTTAGAAATATCATTCCTATCCTAAACTTCAATTCGGTAGATGTATGCCAGGCTACTGTATGATTGTTATTTGATCTATTACCATGAACTTTTAAGATAAAAGTTCCTTGTCTGATGAGAGGAAACATTTTTGGTCCCAAGCGTGAGGGGAATAATTCAATATCAAAATTGTAAAGGGGGGAAAAGTTGCGTCTCGGTATCAAACTAAAGTGTGCCAAAGCATTCTTGAAGATAAAATTTCTTGGGGTGCCGCTTTTGCAATTACAAAGGAAATCGGATACAAGGACCCTCTAGGGACCGGCCTGATTTGGTCGTTAAATCGGATTGTCATTATGACCGATGCACAAATACACTGAGTCTAAGGGAAGTTAATCACGAGTATGACCAAATCCCGCGTCGTTATGACCGATATGTCGTTATAAGCGATGTCGTAATATCCGATATCCACTGCAGAGTTAAAAAAACACATATTTCATGCGGTTTTTTGCAATTTCATCGTTCACTGTTTAAGCATGATAGAAATTGGCTAGGGCCCTCATTTTTAGAGTAACAACTCACTTGTGGTAGTTCTTTAAGGTATGCTAATTATTTTTTGGATCAAAATATTTTTTGGATCAAAATATTTTTTGAGCCCCCCATATGCCCTTAAAAATGCAAAAAACACTATTGCGGCCAGTTACAAATCAGACATGTCAACGATTTTATTGATTTTTTTAAGTGACTTGGCAACCCTGCAGAAAGTCAATTTTCGGTTTTTAGGAACCATTTATACAGTTGATTAGAGAAAAATTTTAGTTTTATGAATGCGGGCGGTTTTCCCCTATTTTCAAGATCACGGTTAGGCCAAATCATTCGATTTGGTCGAAATCACAGCAATTTTTGCCATTTTTTTGTCCGAATTGGCAAGCATGTAAAAAATCGGGCCTTTAATTTTCGGGGACTCTTTATGTAGTAGAATACTGCGATTCAATAATTATTTGGCCAGTGAATGTTTTTAAG